GGCCTTTGATCATCTTAGTTGCTCTTCTCTGATTTTTTTCCAAACTTTTTTGTGATACGGTGACCAAAATTGGCTGCAGTATTCCAGGTGTGGTCTTACTAGGGTTTTTATAAAGCAGCACTAATACTTTGTGTGATCTTGATTCTATGCCTCTGTTTATACAACCCAGGATTGTATTAGCTTTTCTGGCTGCTGCGGCACACTGCTGGCTCATAGTCAAGATATGTCTCTTTATTTATGCCAGTGTTTTTCAACCAATTCTAGCAATTCTAAAACGCTGGCTGGGGAATTCTGGGAATTGAAGTCCATGTATTTTAAAGTTGCCATGGTTGAGAAACACTGATGTGTATGTTCAATAAACTACCTTGTTCCACAGGCTCTTGGCCATGTAGCTGGTCGTTATAAGCACTTTGCAATTACAAACACTCGTTTGATTTTTCGCCCTCTCTTTGCTAATCCTTTTTCAGTGCTGCTTAAATGGCAAGCCGGAGGGCGAACTCTGTCTTACATCCATCCTGTAAGGACAGTAGGAAGTTTTTTCTGATAAATAAGCAATTCGTTGTTTTTTTTTAATCTGGAATTTGATAGAACCAATTGTCCTTGTAGCTCCTTCCCCGCATTTTCACACGGTCCTCTTCTGTTTCTTTAGTTCTGACCGGACCCGAAGATGCAGAAAAATACGAAGCCGCCGTGGGTGTTCTGGAAACTCTGATCCGGAGGGACACAGCCACCGCACAAGAGGTAAATGTGGCTTATACCTCTTTGCCTCACAGTTCAGATTTGGAATTAGCCAGCTGGGATTGTAGGCATTAGGGATTTCATGATTTTATAGCGATAGTTAATAACGCGAAGAGAACCAGTTTGGTGTCGTGGTTAAGACATCAGGCTAGAGACTGGGAAGCTGTGAGTTCTAGTCCCGCTTTAGGCACAAAGCCAGTTGGGTGACCTTAGGCCAGTCACTCTCTTCCAGCCCTAGGATGGAAGCAATGGTAAACCACTTCTGATATCTCACTAAGAATAATTCAAGGACTTGTCCTGGCGGCCTATGAGACACGATTGAAGAGAAGGGGGGAAATGAATCTATATACAAGTTAAGATAACATATACAAGTTAAGATAATACTTCTCGTTCAGTCTTTTAATGAAACCCTTTTTAAGAGCTTGACTCCCTTCAGACTGCCTAATAAACCATGGCTTATGCAGGTTGAGAAGCAATGTGTAAAGTGAGTCTCAAGGTGCCAAAATGGGAATCGGATTTTCCCCCCTCCCCTACTACTTCATTAACCATAACTTATTGTTTGGTTCAACCCAGCAAACTAACCTCATTTCAAACCAACTGAGTTAAAATGTAGGTTTGAGGATTGAGCCAAAGGGTGGTTAAGGTAAAAAAAAAAAAGGGGGGGGACTCCTTCCTTTCTTTGGAGTGTGGGAAGGAGTCTGAAGCCTGTATACCTATCTGGAGGATAAATCATGGTTTATTCACCGTGTCTGTGGTTCTTTGCTCTTTTGGAATTTGCACATGCTGCTTGACAACTGCAATAAATAAATTTAGAACAGGCTTCTGAATTTTCTTTGTAGAATGTAAGTGAAGTAATAACATTGAAAGGAGGAGTTTTTTTCAGATTGCAACGTACTCTAGACTCAGCAAAACGGCATAAAGTTGACTTCCGCCACCCAGCATTCGATAGCAAATTCAGAGTTATGAATTTTACCCTGAATTAAAAACTGAATTTGGAGGGGTACCTTCCCTAGTAAACTCAGGGTTGCCTCTGGGTTGTGTTCCTTTTGCACAGATGAGTGTGGAACTGGCAAAAGTCTTGCTCCACTTGGAGGAGAAGAGCTACATTGAAGGGTTCGTAGGACTTCGACAAGGTGCCTTGGTGGCTGTGACTGTCGCAGACCCCATCCGAGTAAGTCCTTGTATTGACTGTTGGGTGAAACGATTCACAACCTTGTAGACAAGGGCTGTTAGTGAGGTTAGCTAAGGAGTTGGGGAAAAGAGTGGAGAATTCTGGGTTTTCTGTGTGGGTTGTGGAAAACTCAGCTAGCTTACTTCACACAAGGAAGTTCAGTTCAACATCTGGAGGGGTATAGGGCAGGGCTTTTCAACCTGTGGTACGGGTACCACCTGTGGTACATTGGCACCTGGCAGGTGGTACGTGACCATCCTAGAAAAGTGGTAGCGGGGGAGGGGAATGAGCTGAACTGGTGGCAGCACCGCACAAGCCTGAGTGAGAGATGGCTGGAGCTGGAGGGCTGTCAGGGCTCAGCGGAAGCGCCAGGATCAGTGCCGCTTTCCAGCTGATCGGCGCTTCTTCGGGGCTGTCAGGGCTCAGTGGAAGCACCAGGATCAGCACCAGGCTCCAAATGGAGCTCGGCGCTGATCCTGGCCCTTCTGCTGAGCCCTGAAGAAGCACCAATCAGCTGGAAAGCAGCACGGATCCTGGTGCTTCTGCTGAGCCCAGAAGAAGCGCCGATCAGCTGGAATGTTGCAGCATCTCCAGGGTCTTGTGATTTACATTCAGATGCTTGGCAACTGATTCCTATTTATGACGGTCACAGTGTCCCAGGGTCATGTGAAGTGACCAAAACCTGCTGCAACCACCCAGCAGACGGGGGGGGGGGAATAAAAACCAAACACCCCCCACCCCACCCCCGCTGCCAATCCTCAACAGAAATGCTCACAACAATGAAAACCTCGGACAGGAGGAAGAGCACCGCTGGGCAAGCAGGCAGGTGTCTTGCTCAGCTGTGGCTTGGGGGGCACTTTTTTCAGTGCCATTGTAACTTCGAACAGTCACTAAGCGAACTGCTGTAAGTCGAGGACTACCTGTACTTTATCACTTTTTTCCTTTTTTGGTCATCAAGTTTTTGACCCCTTGATAGGCGACTGGTGGTACTCGGATGTCGCCATATCCTAAAAGTGGTACAATGGGTGAAAAGGTTGAAAAGCCCTGGTATAGGGTTCCTCTTCCTACACTCCAGAGCAGTAGAAAGTCAGTGCTAGAAGGGTAGAGCTCATTAGTTCATTCTAGGAAGGAGCAAAGACTTCCAAGATCCATGACACAAAAGCATCTTTAGGGTTGCTACTGGAATACTTTGCCCTCTCTTTTGTACCTACCTTGCCACTCGTGAAAATAAATAAAGGGAAAGTTGGAAAAACGCAAAAGTCATGAAAAACATCTGAACCAAATGCTCGTCTCCTTGTTTTCTAGGTGGCCAATTATCTAACGTCAGAATTCTACTCCCTGAATTACAGTCTACGTCAACGTATGGACATCCTGGATGTGGGTGACTCCTGCTTGCAGAAACTATTTAAGTTGGAGTTACTTTAAATGTCATTTAAATAGAAGGGGGAGTAAAATGTCTAACGGGAAGATCTGTACAGTAAGGGAAAGGTCTACCTATGGAGGTGGCGAGTTCTCAATTTTTGAAGATTGCAAAGAAGAGACTGATAAAACTGCCTGCCAGGGATAGTTTGAGTCAGTCTTTCTCAACCCTGGCAGCTTTAAGATGCTTGTCGTAGCGATCTTTCAACCTCATGGCCTCTGGTTTCTCCATCCAGGTGCTGGCTGTGTCTGCCCAGGAACTGTCTCGGCCAGCTTCATCTCCCTCAAAGCCAAATGCCAGTCGTCCCAGTATCCAAATCATCTCTCATGACGCTTCTTCTCCAGACTGGAAGAAAGTGGTGGATGAGAGGATCAGAAGCAAGACTCGGAGATTTGCAAAGGTGGGCCAGGAAAATCCACCCAGTTTAACGAGACCTTTTTACCTTCAGCGATCTCTTCGGCTTCCCACAACTGCCCAGGGTGAACCACTTGGCCTCAGGGCTGAAGCCCCCAGAAACGGCACTGGAGTCAAAACGCAACCTATGGGTGGTGCTTACTCTGTTGGAGGATCATCTCTGTTTATTCTGAAATCCTACCTTGTAGAAGAACGTCCTGCTTCTCTCTACTTCCAACCCATTCCCCATGGGATGAAATGTAGACCTGGAGAAGGAAGTGGGAGGGGGAATCTCAGCAGCTCCACAGTTTCCCGAGGCAACACATTCCAGAGAAAAGGCCAAAACAAGAGATTGGACAGTCCCAGACTAAATGGGGGAAGGAGGAAGAGGCTTAGGGTAACCATACCCTAGAATCTCTCCGGATACATCCATTAGGTTAGAAGGCCATAGCTTTAATCTGGCAAGATTCTGTCTTAGGCGTAAGCAAATAAAGGGTTGAATTTGATTGGATTTCATTGGGCTATTTTGGGGTTTGTTTCAGCCACAGTTCCTTTCATTCAGTAAGTTGGCTAGTCAGATATCCTCAGCCCTAATTCTTCCAAACTAGTGGGAGCTTATTCAGCACTTCCTTGATGCCAAGTTAGTTTATCTACATCCTAGAATCCAAGTTACTAAGAACCAGGACCCCCAAAGGATGACGGTTGATGAACAGTGAGAATGTTTGATAGTAGTAGGGAAGGAGAAGGTAAGGGGATATGCTGGAGGGAGAATTTAACCCTTCCCTGACCTTGTGTAGGGCCCTAAAGACCTGGTTCGGGGCCTGGCTTGGGGCCACCAAAAAGGACCCTTCCCTTAGTGCTGTTTACGTATTATTTTCCTTGGCTGCTGCGTATTTTGTTTTTTTTGTACTCAGGATATATTTGTGTTTATTCTATTTGCTACTGTTCACCACCCAGAGTAAATTGTTGAGATGGGCAGCTTTACAAATGGATCTGAAAAAAGAAATATGGGTTTTTCAACCTCTTTCCTGTTTCCCATGCTTATAGGGCATGGACCGAATACAAAACAATCTCTTGCAAGCAACAAAACTCTTCCATGGCTCTATTTTGGGAGGGAAAACTCAAGATGTCACATCGTCAAAGTGTCTCCTGCTGCCTCGTATTCAACCCTTATTCTTTGTCTGAAACAGGGTCGGTCCCAAGCAGAACAATTGGGCACCCCTAACCAGTTTACTCCAGTTGCTGGCCATTTCTTCTTCCCACTTCTTCGGAACTTTGACAGGTGAGACCCCCTCAATCTTCAGGTCCTTTGGGAACAGATTTCCTTTTAGGGATGCAGCTGCTTTAATGAGCTGCAGATCACATACAATCTAGGGAAGATCTGCAACTGCTTTAATGGGCCGCGAGCCAGAGCTGTGTGTGTGCGTCCTTCTGTTATTCTGAAGCATCGCACAACCCTTGCAAATCCCACGCAAGAAATTGTGTGATTGCCATAGCCTATTACCACGCTGGCTCGGGAATTCTGGGAGTTGAAGTCCGCCAGTCATAAAGGGCCCATAGTTCCTCACCTCTGCTGCATTATGTTGAGCTTCAAACAATTAATTTGAAGTGAACCCCAAGGGGAACTGTTGCCCAGCCTGTGGCTTGCTAACCCAATCAAAACATTTGCTTTTTCTCTGCCTTCCAGGCCTCTGACCACCTTTGACCTTTTGGGGGACGATCACCTGGTGCTAGGTCGACTGGTGCACACGCTGGCGATTCTCATGTATTTTGCTGTCAATGCTGCGGTGAGAAGAATGGAGAGCTTCCCTCGTGGGCTTTGAAAGCCCTTCGTGGGCTCTGCTTCCTTTGCCATTGGGGGGCATGGGAACCCTCAGAGGGTGGGCACGGCCTCAACCTTGTTGTTGTTAGTTGCGAAGTCGTGTCCGACCCATCGTGACCCCATGGACAATGTTCCTCCAGGCCTTCCTGTCCTCTACCATCTTCTGGAGTCCATTCAAGCTCACGCCTACTGCTTCAGGGACTCCATCCAGCCACCTCCTTCTCTGTCGTCCCCTTCTTCTCTTGCCCTCCATCTTTCCCAGCATCAGGCTCTTCTCCAGTGAGTCCTTCCTTCTCATTAGGTGGCCAAAGTACTTGAGTTTCAACTTC